CATTAATTTTATTTGTTTATTTATATACAGCCACACGCTGTCATCGGAAACACTTATGTGACACTGTGTCAACTACACAAGTACAGTATTTAAGAATTAACGCAGATTTTATGCTGCCTCCTAATGAGCCACTGAACGGAACTGCGATTTTCCCGACGAGTAAATTAATCACCATAATTGCTGTGAGAAATTGTGGGTGAATTTCACAGGCACAACCCTGAATTAACATTTCACACACATAACTGGGGAGAACTCTGGTACATCTAACACTTACTGCTATATATGTACCTCGGAGACAGTGGGACTTTAGCAACAGTGGGTCATAATACTGTCCCTTCTTCGATGACAACCTTCCTAGCTCCCCAAACTAACACATCTGAACCTTAAATTATTTGAACATATAGTTCTTGAAATTATTAAAAAAAATTCAAGCCGGTAACACTGGCTGCATTAAATTTGGTTGTGGACTGTATTTATTCAGGATTTATTACTGTACCTGACAAATTTATATAATTTGTCAGTATCTTATTAAGTATATAACACAATCCCAATAATTAAAACATAAGTTACATAGTTAAGTAAGTAAGTTTATTCAGGTATACACAAATACAGTTAAATAGATTATCAAACATAGTAGCATGTGTAGAGAACCTGGGAAAACCAAAAAACGTCAGTGAATTATTTTCATTGGGGTCCTTTTAATACCTTATTATAATACTATAAAGAAGATATCTTATTATAATACTATAAAGGAGATATACAAGGAATAAGGTAAAAAGAGTTATTTATATTTACATGTGTGTTAGCTAAAAAAAATAAAAACTTATTCTCCTCCCTTTCTGTCGCTACTTTCATTAGGTACCTTTTGGTTCTCTTCTTGAACTGGTTTATGCTATGACTGGCTTTGACATGTGCGGGCAGTCTGTTCTATTCCTTTATTACTGTGCAATAAAAGGTGTTTGAAGCCTGGCCACTGATTGTGGTTACTAGTATTAAAATAGCTTTGGTTCTCAGTCTTGACAAAATTGGCAGCAAGATATTCTGGACACTGTTTGTGAGCAATTTTATAAACCTGACTTAACTTCAGTTGTTTTACTTTGTCTCCAACATTCAGCATATCCAACTGTTGTAATTCATCCTCGCCAACATGTTCTCTTGGACCCAGGTCAAATATGAATCTTACCATTTTGTTTTGGGTGATTTGTAGTTTATCTTTCAGTATTTTTGTCAAGGCAGAGTACCATGAAGAGCAACGTGTTTCACACCTGTTGTCTATGTTCCCCATCAATAAATTAGGTACCTGGGTGTTAGTCGACTGGTATGGGTCGCATCCTGGGGACAAAACTGACCTAATTTACCCAAAATGCTCAGTATAACAAGGGACTTTCTATATAGTAGTATGCCACTGATGTCAGCTATGGTCTGTATACCTTGTACATGTAGTAAATAAAGATATTATTATTATAAGGGTTAGACATAGTGTCCTGGGAGCCTCAGTAAGTAGACACTTGTCTGTAGAGGAACTGCTACTATTGGCCAATAGATACATTACCTGTTTACCTGGAGTTTCCCCGAAGAGGCTGTAGTGAGATTTAATTCACACTAGGAGGCGTACATGACGTACATGATGACACATGTGGTGGACAATGTAGTCTCCAGCAACACCACACGTTTTCATTCGTATCATCCTTATTTTGATAGTTTCACTTTGTATTTGAACCCTTCCAGATACATGTTAAATTCACTTATTATATAGGATACTATATTAGCCGATACTGTTTCTATCGGCTTAAATTAAATGAGATTAATTCTCCACACATTCCCGGTACGATCCGTATTACTCCGCCATTTTCGTTGCTCGCTTCAATTTTTTTTCTACCAATACATCTTTTCAATTAATTTAATACCACTTCCAGGTGTGTAGTACATTTTCATTATTGAAATATTAATTTCCTCTAGATTACAACATTTTTTCACTGTACTTATTCAACTCCTTACAGAATATAAGGAAATAATAAAGAATATTAGTTTTCATGTCACATAACATCTTTCAAAAGTCACTGAAGATTCTAACAATTTCAGATAAACATTATTATCCCCATCAATTTTTACACACAAATCCCAGGAAAATTATCAAAATTTTCCACACTTACCATGAAGGAGTGCACCATCTCTAGTGCTCACTGTGGACCCATAACAACTGAAAAAACTATGAAAAAACTCCAGATAAAAATTTTGGAGTTCGTCCTGAAACAGTTTAAGCATTTTCTTCCCTTACCCCCATACATATATTTAAAAAAATATAAATGAAATTATGCATCATAATTAGGTATCCCTAAAGATGAATCTTTAAGAGCTTGTCTGATTTTGTTAATTTTTCTTCAACAACTGGCGAGGGTTTGAGGGGGTCAGCGCCCCTATGGCCGGGTATGACTGAGATAACTTCCATAATCCTCAGTGGTGGAGCTTCAAACATTACAAAAAAAAGGTGCCTTTAACTCGAGAGTGAAATTAAAATATGTAGGTCCACATTTGAGCATTTGTATAAAATTTTGATTTTAAATCACGATCAATAAATTTCAGTTTACCTCTTCTGAATGGTTGATACATCTTAGGACCAGGGTAGTGCGTATTAATTTTTTTGTGTGTAGGCAGATTTAATGATGTAGTAAAACGGTTAAAAGAAAAAAACTTGGAATCATTAGAATCCATGCCATAACTGGAGAATGACTCATCTGATCGGCTTCAAATTTTCACTATCAGTGTGGTCTCCTGAACACAAATTTCATGCTGTAATTGGGCGGCATAAGTCCCAATTTACCAATTATATTCAATAAACAGCGATATTTATTTATTTCCAGTAACTAAAGAATACTGTGATCGGCTTCATAATATTAATGTCTTGTGTCAGGATGATATGTCATAAGTTATCAGGGTCGAGCAAATCTGAAATGTTACTGAAATTGGATTGAATTGAATTCTCCAGTAATAGGTCTGATTCAAAAATTGGATTTATTTGAATCAGACCTATTACTGGAGAATGACTGTCTTAGTGTTAGGTTAGATTTGTCGGGAAACAAGAAAAGTGTTTCCTGACGTGGGTCTTAGTTATATGATGACCCACCACTGGAGGTTTTGGTCATGTGACAGAGGCCTCCAACTGGCTTACTCCTCCACCTCTTTAAAAATTATGGTTATGATTATAACCATTTCACCATTGGCAGGATTTATTAAAAGAAAGTTTGGTGTCCACTTTGAGCTGTGTAAATTTCAAATTACCAATTTTATTAAATAAATTCTATGTATCGCAAAAGAATGCCCCTTCTGATAGGCTACAAACCTTAAACACTGTAATTTAACCGAAAACATTTTTTTTTATTAATTTTAGTGCCTTAAATGCTGGTAAACCTTACGTAGAGAAAAGCTGGGATATATATTTCGGCCAGTGTTGGTCAACTCTGTCTTTTATAGAAGAAAATAGCAAAACCAAAATTCTAATTGACATGCGATAATCTGAGTGTCTCATATAATTACCTTCACCTAACTTACAACTCTCATAGCTTGATAACTCCAGTTCTGACTGACTTCATAGTTACTGTGCTGGTGTATTTTAGGACATTGGTCCTTCTAAGATGACAAGAGAATTCGTCACTGACTTTTTTTGGGGTTATCCTCTGTAACTTTATTATAATTGTACTTACGTGTACCTGGGCCTAAATTAACTTATTATATTCTGGACACTGCTGGTGAGCAGTTTTATAAATATGATTTAACCTCGTGTACTGATAGTAAATAAGTTTATTTAGGTACAAGCACATATAAATACATTGTATAAATTATGTGTTATAATAATATGTGTTAATTACCTGGGATAACCTAAAGTGACTTATTTCCATTGGTGTCTTTGTGTAATCAACATTATCTATGTGCATCCCCTCAAGGGAGGTTCCTTGATGCTGGTAAGGGGCTCTTGATCTAGGTTAGGTTAGGTAAGGTTCGTCAGGAAACAGGACAAATGTTTCCTGACGCGGGTGTTAGTCAGATGATGACCCGCCTTTGGAGCTTTTGGTCATCTGACCGAGGCCTTCCGCTGGCTTACCGGTCCACCCCTGAATTGGATCTGTGCTCCAATTCCCCGAATAAAGATTGAATACCTTCCACATCCCCCCCACAGGCGCTGTATAATCCCACGGGTTTAGCGCTTCCCCCTTGATTATAATAATAATAATAATAATAATAATAATAATAATAATAATAATAATAATAATAATAATAATAATAAAGTTACTATAAGTACAATAAATTCTCATATTAACCTTATGCAAATATTGAATAACATATATTTAATAGATGTATTACTTGTTGTATAGTTAATTCAACCTTATCAAAGTATATTTTGTACATCTAGTGTTAAATAATGAGTAATATATTAAGTTTAAACAGGCAGTAATACAGTAGCATTGCACATCAATGTAAACCCTTGACTGTAAACCACATATATAAACCTACTTCCTAAAATATATCAACCATATTGTAAACTTTGAATTTCTGTCAGTGGCCCTGAAACCCAACACAAGAAGATTGTAAACTTGAAAGGAAATAAAGGAATTTGAATTTTGAATTTGAATTTGAATTTGAATTTTTGATTCATTTATAATTAATAATCTACTGTACAAATATGAAATAATTACTATCCTACTGTACAACTGAGATATAATCCTTAGTATTAAGTAGCCTGTAAGTCAATAATATTAAGTTGGCCCATAATACCTAGGCATAATAGAGGCTGTCTCTGTATTGCAACCCACTATTGTAAATATAAAATCTCAATGACATAAATTGCAATGACATAAATTGCAATGAAATAAATAAATAAAAAACTTTATTTATTTATTTATTTATATTAAGCCTGCCCATAATGCTCTGCATACAAGGGGCTTTGACATGCTGCACTTTAAAAATTATATTCCTTGTACTTCTCTGTATCACATTCAAATAAATAAATAAATAAATAAATGAATACTAGATGTGAGGGTTGGCAAGCATCAGCATGTAAACACAACATTGTTGTTCAGGACTCCATCACCATGTTCAAGAACACCTTCCAGAGTGGCTTCCTCTCTATACTCTACAGTATAGGCAGTAAACCATTACAAATATGGGACAAGAAGGTATTATTATACATATGTATTCACTTAATACTAGACAATTTAGTGTCCAACTTCTTGGACAGAAAATATCTCGATAAATTTGTTGGTTTATCGTTGGTCAGTACTACATAATTTATGTTTTTTTTTGAAGTTTATAAGAATTATAAGTTTATTATAACCATCGTATAGATATATTGTTTCAAACCGCTTGTAATTACTCAGAATAAAGCTTATCTATATCATTAATGCATTTCGAAGCCACCTTTAAAAATTATATAATAATTACCTGTGCCTCTTGTAAATATATCATAAATAACTCATAGCCATATTACTGTATACATTAATGTTATTATAATATTTTGTGACTATTTCTGGATGTGTAACCTCATTGCTGTTCTGAATTCAATAAATAGCTCACAGAAATTTGCTTAGCAAACACAAATATTAGGTCCTATTATATGACTTGGTAAGCCAATAATTACCACCAACAAGCTGGGTTTATTATAAGTACATAATGAAGGTATGGAACTAACTTAAGCCATCACATATATCAAATACCACAGTGGAAATACTTGCTGTGAGTTACAATGTTTGAATTTATTGTGTTATCCTAGGTTAAATCTGTATAATGTATATTCTTTGTGTCCATAATATATTGTGTGTCCTTGAGATCACTATTTTTTTTTTATATTTTTGTATTTCATGTATCAAAGCCTAAATATTGTTAAAGCCAGATTGAAATGAGCTGAGGTAGGATAACTGCTTGCAAAATTAACACTTAGCCTCTGTTGAACCCTTAAGTTAAAAAATATGATCATTTACTTAAATTTTTGCTCAGTTTTGGGGTATATATTTGTCTATGTAGTTTTGGAGAACTTACTTTCTGAAACTTTGCAAATAATTTGTGTTAAATGAATCTCGGCTTTGTATTATTTCAGCATTTAATATTTACATTTGAGATTTACTCTCGCTTCATACGGTGAGGGCCTGGGTTCGATTCCCAGCCAGAGTAGAAACATTGGGCATGTTTCTCTCCACTTGTTGTCTATGTTCCCATCAGTAAAATGAGTACCTGACTGTTAGTCGACTAGTGTGTCGCATCCTGGGACACTGACCTAATTTGCCCGAAATGTTCAACATAACAAGGGGCTTTCTATGTAGTAGTATGTCATTGATGTCAGCTAGGCCTATGTACCATGTATGTGTACCTTTAGTAAATAAAGATATTATTATTATTATTATGAATCACAACTTCACAATGCTAAGAAATCTTAAAAATAGATTCATGTTTGCATCTTAGATTTTAAAATTATACTATATTGTACTATATGGTATTCTTAAATATAGCAAAATAACATCATTCTTCATTATTTACACTTTTGTGGCTTTTTTTTTTTGCTAAATAATAATTTATGTGAAATGCATTTTTCATAGGTTCGTAATGGACACATAAAGAGGATAACAGACAATGATATTCAGTCTCTGGTCTTGGAGATTGTTGGAGTCAATGTAAGGTATGTAATATATATATAATATGTATGTAAAACCTAACTTGACATGCACTACCTGTATACATTAATGTAGTTGTTCTCATAATGTGCTGGTGATCAGTGCTGTTATTGTCTCATTGGTGTTACTATATGGACATAGGGCTTACACGGGTTCTTAGTATGCATGATGAGGTAATCTCATCAGGGGAATATATAGTAATAATAATAATAATAATAATAATTTATTATTTTATTTATTATCACACTGGCCGATTCCCACCAAGGCAGGGTGGCCCGAAAAAGAAAAACTTTCACCATCATTCACTCCATCACTGTCTTGCCAGAAGGGTGCTTTACACTACAGTTTTTAAACTGCAACATTAACACCCCTCCTTCAGAGTGCAGGCACTGTACTTCCCATCTCCAGGACTCAAGTCCGGCCTGCCGGTTTCCCTGAATCCCTTCATAAATGTTACTTTGCTCACACTCCAACAGCACGTCAAGTATTAAAAACCATTTGTCTCCATTCACTCCTATCAAACACGCTCACGCATGCCTGCTGGAAGTCCAAGCCCCTCGCACACAAAACCTCCTTTACCCCCTCCCTCCAACCCTTCCTAGGCCGACCCCTACCCCGCCTTCCTTCCACTACAGACTGATACACTCTTGAAGTCATTCTGTTTCGCTCCATTCTCTCTACATGTCCGAACCACCTCAACAACCCTTCCTCAGCCCTCTGGACAACAGTTTTGGTAATCCCGCACCTCCTCCTAACTTCCAAACTACGAATTCTCTGCATTATATTCACACCACACATTGCCCTCAGACATGACATCTCCACTGCCTCCAGCCTTCTCCTCGCTGCAACATTCATCACCCACGCTTCACACCCATATAAGAGCGTTGGTAAAACTATACTCTCATACATTCCCCTCTTTGCCTCCAAGGACAAAGTTCTTTGTCTCCACAGACTCCTAAGTGCACCACTCACTCTTTTTTCCCTCATCAATTCTATGATTCACCTCATCTTTCATAATAATAATTTTTTTAACACGTCGACCGTTTCCCACCGAGGCAGGGTGACCTAAAAAGAAAGAAAAACCCAAAAAGAAAGAAAACACTTTCTTCATCGTTGAACACTTCACCATCACTCATACATAACCACTGTCTTTGCAGAGGTGCTCAGATATGACAGTTTAGATGTCCCTCCAACCTGCCAATATCCCAAACCCATCCTTTAAAGTGCAGTCATTGTACTTCCCATTTCCAGGACTCAAGTCCGGCTAATCGGTTTCCCTGAATTCCTTCACAAAATATTACCCTACTCACATTCCAACAGCTCGTCAGGTCCCAAAAACCATTCATCTCCATTCACTCCTATCTAACACTGGTGCATGCTTACTGGAAGTCCAAGCTTCTCACCCACAAAACCTTTATCCCCTCCCTCCAACCTTTTTGAGGACAACCCCTACCCCACCTTCCTTCCCCTACAATTTTATGTGCTCTAAGTCATTCTACTTGGTTCCATTCTCTCAAAATGACCAAACCACCTCGACAACCCTTCTTCAGCCCTCTAATACTTTTATTAACCCCACACCTCCTAATTTCCACACTCCTCACTGCAGCATTTACAGCCTATACTTCACAGCCACATAAGAATGTTGGTACCACTATACTCTCGTATATTCCCTTCTTTGCTTCCATGGATAACGTTTTTTGTCTCCACAGATACCTCAATGCACCACTCACCTTTATTCCTTCATCAGTTCTATGGTTAACCTTATCCTTCATAAACCCATCTGCTGACAAGTCAACTCCCAAATATCTGAAAACATTCACTTCTTCCATACTCCCTCCCTCCAATGTGATATCCATTTTTTCTTTATCTAACTTGTTTGATACCCTCATCACCTTACTCTTATCTATGTTCACTTTCAATTTTCTACCTTTATACACCCTCCTAAACTAGTCCACTATGTATAGCCTGGCATGGCTACCATACCTACCACTCCTGATTTCTTACAATAAATAATACTCATCTCACCCTACATTAAGACTACAAATATTTTAAGGTAAGTAATGAGTATGTAAAGTAAAAGGACACAAGTGCAACTAATGTGACATTTATTGTGGCAACGTTTCGCTCTCCAGGAGCTTTATCAAGCCATTACAAACAATACATGGACACAGAGGGTATATAAAGGCTCAGAGTGAGGTGTAATACTAGTGAGGTAACATTTCGATGTTCACTAGTGGTAGTGGTAGTAGTAGTAGTAGTAGTAGTAGTAGTAGTAGTAGTAGTAGTAGTAGTAGTAGTAGTAGTAGTAGTAGTAGTAGTAGTAGTAGTAGTAGTAGTAACAAAAATAATACAATATGGAAGAGCAATTAATTCGTACATGAGAAAAGGATATAAAAGCTATTACTTGGGTAACATAAAAATAGGTTGGACAAATATAGACTGGAAAGAGGCAGTTTTTTTTTTTTTTTTTTTTTTTTTTTTTTTTTTTTAGTGTTCACTCTCTGTAATGTGCTTTGTGTAGTATAACAGGAGAGACTATGTGATGGCAGGGTTTACTGTTTTCAGGAGGATTCTTGCTAAGACTTCGGAGATGGTGAAGCTGCCATTGTTTTGTTTAATTGTATTCGAAACAGCGATCAGTGCTGATTCGAGGCACTTGCGTCTGCGGAAATTAGTTTCTTGGATCACTAATTGGGCGTCTCTGAATTTCATGAGATGATTGGTGGAATTTCCATATTGTATTATTTTTGTTACTACTACTACTACTACTACTACCACTACCACTAGTGAACATCGAAATGTTACCTCACTAGTATTACACCTCACTCTGAGCCTTTATATACCCTCTGTGTCCATGTATTGTTTGTAATGGCTTGATAAAGCTCCTGGAGAGCGAAACGTTGCCACAATAAATGTCACATTAGTTGCACTTGTGTCCTTTTACTTTACATATTGTCGGTAATTCTACCAACTTTATTACAAGTAATGAGTGTTGGAGTGTAAGCAAGGTAATATTTATGAAGGGATTCAGGGAAACGAACAGGCCGGACTTGAGTCCTGGAGATGGGAAGTACAGTGTCTGCACTCTGAAGGAGGGGTGTTAATGTTTCTGTTTTATAACTAGTGTAGGCATACCTCTGGCAAATCAGTGATGGAGTGAATGATCATGAAAGTTTTTCTTTTTTGGGCCACCTTGTCTTGGTGGGAAACGGCTGATGTGTTAATAAAAAAAATAATGAGTGTATTATATGTGTATTTTACTTTTTTATTGTTTCTTAATGCCTAGGTCTATTGCTAACTTAATATATGTTAGTGGAAACTTGTTATCTAGCATTTATATGCATTTATAAGTGGAAAAAAGGCCATTCCACTTTAAGGCAGTAGCCTGGTTCCTAACCTGGCGTGTAAGTGGGGCTCTACTGTATATATATAAATGGCCGACATGTTAAAATAAATAGATATATATGTATATACATATTTATTTATTTATTTTTTATTTATTTTGTTCACAGTAGTATGAGTAATGCCTTGTATGTTGAATAAGTTCAAACTTTTGAAGAAGGGGTGTGTGTGCTGTTTGGCACCTGCTTGTTTGATTATTCATACAGCAGCATTATATTGAATTACTGTTGGCTTCAGGTGATTTGTTGTAGTAGATTCCCAAGTATAAATACCATAGGTGAAGTAAAATGAAGTAGGGATGTTATTTCATTATTATATTAACCGTTTAATTATACAGCGGTATAATTAGGTTTCTCAAACTACAGTGCCGTTTTTGTTTTTTGCAGCACAACATACATCACATGTCCTGCTGACCCCAAAAAGACTCTTGGCATCAAACTTCCCTACCTAGTTATGATTGTTAAAAATCTCAACAAATACTTCACATTCGAAGTACAGGTAATACCAGTCTGCATTTTATTATTGTGCTTTAGTATTGTAGTTGAATTTGTTTCATGATCTGTAAGAATTACATATTTAATCAACAGGAAAATTGAAAAATTTCACCATTTGATATTTTTCATGCTTGTTTGTGTTCAGGAGCTTGGGATCTCTAATTAACCCTTTCAGTATTGTTCATGTAGATCTATGTGTATATCATATTGCCCTCAGATTTGCTGTGTGATGAATTTTGGCCTAGAATGAGTCTGTGTGGTATGTGCAGTGTAAAACAAAAATCCTTCCTCCCACAGTACATGATGGAAACGACTAATTTCTGACCTAACTCACAAAATTGTAATAACACAGTTGCAAACAAGCCACAGAACAGGTGTGGTTAGCCTAGAGTTTTATAACTTGATTGCCATGGGTTCTAACCCCACCTGTTCTGCGGTTTCTCAGACCTAACATTTGGGTTAAAATACAGACGACCCAGCTTTACAGCGTTTGCTTTGTGGCATTTCACTAATGCAGTGGTTTTCAATTACAGTGGAACCCTGGTTTTCATCTGGTCCAGTTATCATACAGTTCGGTTTTTGACCACTATTTCGGCGAAATTTTCCCCATTTTCGTACATCCACTCGGAAATCATCCATACCAGCCACGTCCACCTGCCCGCTGGACGCGGCCGTTCATATGTTCGTGACTCAGTCTGCCTTTGTTACTCGTAGAGGGTGGTAGTGATGGTGGTAGAGGGTGGTAGTGATGGTGGTAGAGGGTGGTGGTGATGGTGGTAGAGATAGCCTCTCCTCCCTCTTCCCTCCTTGCCATCTTCCATATGCCAACAAGTCTTCAATAAAGGTAAAAGTGATTTAAATGTTCATTTATCCATTTCATTAGTGCTTTATATTTATTTCTCATTGTTTTCTGTATGTAAACTATAATTATTCTCTACAAAATGTATTTTTTGTTAATATTTTTGGGTGTGTGGAACGGATTAATTGGATTTACATTATTTCTTATGGGAAATATTACTTCACTTTTCGTACAAATCGGCTTTTGGCTGATCTTCTGGGACGGATTAAAGACGAAAACTGGTATTCTACTTTATTCCCATTTTCTACAATAAATATATTCAGCACTTGCTATAAGCTAAGGATGAAAATATTTTAAGGTAATTAATGTGTGTACTGTATATGGATTTTTTTAGGACTAGCTATATTCCTCACTTAATATTTTGTTTCTTCTCTTTTGGGTCACCCAGCCTAGGTGGGAGGTGGCTGGTGTATTAAAAAAAATTTATGGTTTGTGAATGTTAATGTATTGTGTTGTATGCATCTTTTTATTGTAAAAGTACTGAGCAACCCAATACTGTAGGTCTGAGTGGTTTGTAATTCACGCATCTTCCTTCATTATTATTTTCATAAGGAGCACTAAACCCATAAAAGTCATACTGCTCTTGGAAAGTGGGGGAGCAGTCAGGTTTGATCTAAAGAAGGGGAGGGTAACTCTTCCTTTGATCAAGAGCACTTCATCATTAAAATTAATATTGTCTATTTCAGCATGATACAATATTTGTGCAGAGGCAAATGACATTTAGGTGTATGTTCAGAAAGCATCTTAATATGCAGAGCATTTTGGGCAAACATAAGACTATCTTAAGATTCATAAGGGAATGACTAATTGAGTGCTTTTATATAGTCTTAGGTGGTTGTAAAAATAGATTTAAGAATTACAATGGATAAAAGAGAATTGACTATCCTATTAGTAATTGCTTTAAGAATTACAGGTTTGATTATGATTCTAGGTAACAAGGATTCTAGCATTTAACATAATGTAGGCACATTCAGTGTTTTAATAGTTGTGAGGATTACAGATATTAAGGATAAGTTTGTATTGTTTTCCATATATTTGTGACAGTTAGAATGTGGATATATAGTTTTCACATCTTTAGCTGATGTTGATATACATGTATGTTATGGAGAGAAGGCAGGTGTTATTTAACGGTAGTTTTGAAGATGCTGGCTAAGAGAGTAACTCTGAAGATTTCCAGCAGAGTGTTCCAGATTTGGGCCCTTTTATGTACATTGAATTTTTTACAAAGATAAAGCCAGACATGGGGTATGTCATGGAGATTTTTGTGCCTAGTATTATTTCTATGGGTCCTGTTTCAGCTGTCAAGAAAGTGCTTCAGGTTGGGATTAATATTAGAATTTATTCTGTAAATGTAGGATGCACATAAGTAACAGTGAATGTTTTGTATAGTAAGTAGATTTAGGTCTTTGAAGAGTGGGGGAGGAGGGTGTTGTCTAGCAGTGGACTGTGTGGTCATTTGTACTTCAGCTTTTTGTTGAGTTGTTATTGGCTTAAGGTGATTTGCTGTTGTGGATCCCTAGGCACATATAGCATAGGTGAGGTAGGGGTAGATAAGTGAGTAAGTAGTGCTGTTTGTGGTATATAATAACCTATTTTTGAGAGGATGCCAACTGTTTTGGACACTTTTTTGTTGTGTGTTCGATATGGGTGTTGAATTTCAAGGTGCAGACCCAGGAATCTTCCCTCCTTATGTTTAGCAATAAGAGTATTGTTAATCATAATATTTAGTTGGACATTACTTGCTCTGCTCCCAAACATTATGTAGAAGGTTTTGTTAATGTTAAGTGCGAGTTTATTGGTAGTCATCCAGGTTGATATTTTTAAGAACTCTGCATTGACAGTGTTGAGTGATGCTGGATTTGGGTGGGAGATGACAAAAGTTGTGTTGTAAGCAAAGAGAATAGGTCTAAGTAGTTGTGATACATTTGGAAGGTTGTTGATGTACAAGGGGAAAAGTAGGGGGCCAAGGATGCTACTGTGTGCATTGCCAATGCCCAATGGTCCTGTTGAAAAAGTTGTGCCCTTAATAGAGATGTATTGCTGTCTGTCTTTCATACATCACATATTATTTTCTGTGTAGGGAAATGTATATTTCATATAAAAAATTATTTTGTTTAATACTTTTGGATGCCTGCAATGGATTAATTGGATTTCCTTTATTTCCTACGGGGAAAATTAATTCGGATAACGATACAATCGGTTAAGGACAAGCTCTCTGGAACTGATTAATATCATTAACTGAGGGTCCACTGTATATGTAATGATCAAGTTTGTAAAATAGGATGCTGTGGTCTGGTGTATCAAAAGCTTTCTGTAGGTCTATCAAGAGTTCTAGTGGATATTCATTTTTTCAAGTGTTGTGTAGAGTAGGTCTAGCATTTTTATAATTGTCACTTGTGCTTTTGTTTTGCCTGAAACCAAACTGGCAGGGGTTGAGAATGCTTTGTGATGTTGTTATTTTGGATAGCAAAGGTAAGTTAGATATTGGCCTGTAGTTGTTTACAGCTTTTGGGTCTCCACCTTTGTGTATTGGCGGAACCCTTGCTATCTTGAGTAATGTCAGGGAAAGTACTGGTTTCTAGTGATTTGTTAAAAGTAGTGTAATGGTGGGTGAGAGGACATGAGCCACTTATTTGAATGATAGTGGTGGGGACTGAGCTAGATTTCCTGATTATTTTTTTGGGTGACTTCAGTGGGCTCAGTTGGAGCAAGATAGAAGGATGTTGGGAAGTTTCCATCTAAATAATCACTCATTCAGGTATTGGTGCTTGGAATTTTACTGGCAAGACATGATCCTATGGTTGAGAAGAAATCATTTATCTTCTTAGCTGTTTCACTAAGCTAGAATTGTGGTTCGTTTAGTTTGGTTAGGACAATACTTCTAGTTTTGTTCACCTTTTGGGTGGCCAGAAGGCATACCCTCTTGAAGGGTTACTCCAGATTTATATAAAGCTTTTATCACTTACCTTTTTCTTATTTTTTAGTACTAGTACTGGTGCTTATTCTACTATGAAATTAAATTTGATTTTCTCAAAGGTTTTAGATGACAAGAATGTTCGTAGACGTTTCCGGGCCAGCAATTACCAGTCAACCACAAGAGTTAAGCCATTCATCTGCACCATGCCTATGCGTCTGGATGAAGGATGGAATCAGATTGTGTTCAACCTTGCAGACTTTGTCAGGAGAGCTTATGGTACAAATTATGTTGAAACATTGAGAGTCCAGATTCACGCTAACTGCCGTATAAGGCGGGTCTATTTTGCTGATCGACTATATTCAGAGGAAGAGTTGCCAGCAGAATTCAAGTTGTATCTCCCAGTTCAAACAAAAGCAAAATCTGCAATTTGAGCTTGAATCCACTGTTAGGTATATGGACCTTGAAGGTAAATAAAATAAAGGATTTGCCATATTATTGTATAGAAAAAATGAACTTTTATATTGAGTTGTGATCTATTGCACAAGCCTTCTGTTATACAGAAGAGTTTCACACTTTCTAGTCTCTGCATAATGTAATCAAACTTATCACTTTTTTTTTTGTCATGCACTGCTGTTTCGTGTACAACTTGGCAGAAAATCATTTGCCTTGTAGGAAACCTGTACATGCAAGATCCTGGGGCTGTTATCCTTGGAAGACGTAACATTGCTCATTCTGGTCATATGGTTAATTATGAAACAAAAAATGAGTGTAAAAGACACTTACGTTGAAAAAAAATATAGTCTACATCTCTTTTTTTTTTTTCTCTCCATTAATCAAGTACTGTACTGTATTGTCACTTTATGAGCTGTTTAGTAACAAAAGGACAATTTTCTGGTAGCATATTAATAGTTTACTTTTAAAATGTGTACAGTAAATTATGAATTCAACATCTAAACTGTTCATGTGTCAGAGAAGCATGTTTAAGTTATGGTAGTTACACTACTGAATGCTGTATGACCCTTGTGGATTTAGCACTTAGTTATTTTGAAATTTTCCTCATAAAATTAACAATATTAAGTCCTTTTATACTTGACTTTTTCCTACCTTTTTATATCTACTGTATTTGCAAATTCAGCTGTCGTTCCATTATCTTTGCTGAAAATATTATTCACTAATGCATTTTCCAGCTTTAATATAAGTTTTTCATCACTGGAAATTTGGCTTTGAAGAGATTACATATATCGAGTAAGTTGCCTTATGTGTGAAAGACTTTTGAAACGGTATATGAAATGTTTTTAAAAAATTCTAAATTCTGTACTGCAGGAGAATAAGGATAATTTTAACAAGTGCAGTCATGTGGGAAAGTATAGGAAAAGAGGGCAAATAAAAAATGATAAGCGAAAATACAAAGAGTGAGGAAGAGTAGTTTTTGAATGAATACAGCCTCTCCTCACTTAACGACGGAGTTCCATTCCTAAGACCATGTCAGTAAACGAATTCATCGCTAAGTGAGGAGCATACTATAATGGTAGTGGGTTTGTGTTGACCATCTTTGATATTGCTTTAATGTCACCTTTGCATCATTTATAACATTTCTAGTACACTTTTAAATATTTATACAGTAGTGTACTGTATATTGTAATAAACAGACTAGAGGAAATCAGCTCAAATATACATTACATTATTTAGGTATGCACATTGGTCAGATTGCCCATCGTAAGTCCGAGTCGTCGGTAAATGAGTACTCCGCTAAGTGAGGAGAGGCTGTATTGTGAATGCATATAGTATAAGTATGAACTAGTGTGATAACATGAGTTCAGGCAAAGACAAGCGGACTACAGATGCTCCTCACTTTACAATAGTTTGACTTACAATATTTTGAGTTTATGGTGTGATAAAACTATAAAACTTTTTTTTGTACTGCACATTTATTGAAAGGATAAACTTGTGTTTATTTCTTTACGTTTATCAGAACGAAACCCCATTGTAAGTCGAGGAGCACCTGTACTGTACGTGACTCAAGTGGAATGTGAGCTATTGTTTTTAATGCCTTTATTATCCACACTAAACCATCCTTTGGCAGCCGCATTCAAAGAATTAAAAAATGACTATAACTTCAAGGCTTTCTCTCCTGTCTCCTCTGATATAAATATATTTTAATAGCTTTTACAAAATTGCAGCATTTAATTTTTAAACATTCTTTCCTAAAATTATATATATGAACAATTTAGACAGCAAAGGAAATGCACACAGATATAGTATTTATTTTCATGTTGAATTAGTCCTAGAGTACCCTCCCTTCTCTATAAAATATTTGCTGTAATACCCTTTTTGGCTTTATAAAAAGGTTGCACAGAGGAAATACAGAACAGTTCTGCATGCTTAAAATGTAATAAGGGGAGGATGCATTACAAACCCCTTTTCCTATAGTGCATTATTTTTTTTTTTTTATGCAATACAACCCCCATTTCCACTGATTCGGTATCCGCGTTTTCAGTTATCCACGGTTTACTGTGGCCCAAAAATACCTCTTAATTTTGCATAATAATGGCCCCAAAGCACAAAAGTAGAGAAGCTGGTAGTTCTTCAAAGCCTAAGAGAAGCTGTGAAGTGCTTCCCATCAATGAAAAAGTGATAATTATCCACTTATTGTGCATAAATTATCAATTAAACTTTATACGGTGGACCCCCGGTTAACGATATTTTTTCATTCCAGAAGTATGTTCAGGTGCCAGTACTGACCGAATTTGTTCCCATAAGGAATATTGTGAAGTAGATTAGTCCATTTCAGACCCCCAAACATACAAGTACAAACGCACTTACATAAATACACTTACATAATTGGTCGCATTGGGAGGTGATCGTTAAGCAGGGGTCCACCATAATAGGTATGTGAAGGACTTGTATATAGGGTTTGCTACTATCCATGGTTTTGGTATCCACAGCAAGTCCTTGGAATGTATCCCCTGCAGATACAGGGGTCCTACTGTATACATAATGAAATTTTTAGCACACCACCTATCTCCCACTAAGGTAGGGTGATTAAAAAATTAGGAAGCACATTCTTTCATTCAGATACTGTTTTGCCAGAAGCATACTGTATATATTTATCAAATTTGTTATTCAGTAATTATTATGAAACTAATGTTAAGCCAAAATCTGAATAAGAATTTTGGAAAAACTTATTTATGTATCAATTATTAAAATACTGTATGTCTTGTCCTACAGGCAAGGATTATTTTTATATTAATGAGGATGTGCTAAACCCATACAGCACCTGGGGAGGAATAGGAGGTAATCAGGTTCAATCTAAGGAAGGGGTGATCGGGTCCAGTTTCTTTGATCAAGAGCCCCTTACCAGCATCAAGAAAATACAGTAATACACAGGCAAGGAGCCACAAACAGATTTTTAATAAACTCTGAACATTTACTTGAAAATAATGAAAATTTGAATTCTTGGAAAGGTGTCAAAACTGTGCTTAATAAATTGTAAGAATTGACACTGTACCCTTGCAAACAATTTAGCCATTAAACTATCAGCACTGTAGACTTATGCATAATCATAATGGTCTCAAACTGGCTGAGTGGCAAATTTGGATCTAGACAAGTGTCTGTATGACTCGACCTGTTGATAAATTAGACACATGCGCAACTCTTGGGTATCTTTATTGAGGAAACGTTTCGCCACACAGTGGCTTCATCAGTCCATACAAGGGAGAATCGTGAAGAGCAGGAGGAGAACGAGGTAATCAGTCCCTCAACCTTGAGTCGATGTGGTCAGTCCATCAATCTTGAATAGAATAGATACCCAAGAGTTGCACATGTGTCTAATTTATCAACAGTTCTCTGAACCATTCATCTACATGACTCGACCTCTTCAAGGGGGGCTCCTTGGCGTGGTGAAGAGGCTCTTGGTCTGAGGAATTAGACCTGTCGGTCTCCTTCCTCAGACCGAGCCTAATTACCCCCCAATCCCCCCTTCCCTATCCCATCCTCCCCTTTTTCCTTTCCTCCTCCTCCTCCCCACCCCTCCCTTTTGCCCTTCCTCTTTTTAGCCTTTGGGATTTTTCCCACAGGCACGCTAGTTCCTAGGTAGGGGAAAGGGTACCGGGGTCCATCTCATTCCATTGAGGTTCTTGGCGGTGGCGTAGTTTGCCGTGGAATCTGGATCGCCTGGGGATGTCCCGATCCCTCTCCGGTATCCCGGAGGGTGGCTTTGGGTGTCTTTCGGGCGACGGGTGTATCTCTGGAAGCCACCTTTCGGATTCCGGGGGTGGTGGCCGAAGGAGGTATGCTTTGTGGCGGATATCCAGCCGCCCTCTCTTTTGTCCACCGAGGTAGCTCGGCAGATGTGAGGTTGCTATCCTGGATTGCTGGTTTACTGGCATGAAGGGTAGGGTATGGCACGGGTTCCATGCTGCATCTGCACTACTTGTGGTGCTGAGGTCCTCTTGGGCGCGGAGGGAGATTTCTGGCCCTTTCATTCCTCCTAGGAACTATCCCTCCCTGGTCCCCCCTTTTTTTTTATTCTTTTTTTTATTTTTATTTTCTTTTCTTTTTTCTTAAAAACAAAAAGAAGTAACCTAACCATGGAGTCCCCAATCCATGACCCCACTACCCCCGGGCCCCTTATTGTTACCGCACCCCGTTCTGACCTCGCCTCATCTTTTGGCCACTCTTCGGACACTCCTAAGGCCCCTGTACTTCTTGCTGGTGCTGTTTCGTCACCCGCTTCAGGTGCCAGGATTTCGACTGACTCCTTCGATTTGTCTGACCTCCGCTCTCCTTTGACTATGCTTCTGGCCTCTCCCTCTACGGTGCAGCAATTTTCAAATCAGCAGCCCGTCCCACGTCGGACCAACTCTGGTCCCACTTCTAAACGCCAACGACAATCTCCTGATTGATGTTACTTCGTTACCTTCCCATTCTACTCGGAAAACATCGACACGTCATGCACTCCCTCTCCACACTCAGTTTCAGACCACACAATGAACTAAATTCTATACTTTAAGACCGACTTCTACTGCCTATCTTTCCGATCATAGTACGTATTGGCAAAGCACTCCTACGCCATGTTGGTAGAGATATTTCTTTTCATGCTCTTAAGAGTGGTATGCGCATCATCACAGTCCAGAATTCTACCCAAGCTCATGATCTTTCTCTTCTTTCACATATCGATACTATTCCTATCACTATTGAAAAACATCATTCCCTCAATTCTTGGAGTGGTACTGTTATTCTGCCCCATACCATAGTCCAACAGAATTTCCAGACATGTGGCAATGACATTCTTGAACAACTGGAACTCCAAGATCTCCCAATTCTCAAGGTAGACACTTATGTTCCTGCCTGCAGGCGAAGACAATACCCTTGAAATGTGGCTCGTTTAACCTTTGACAGCCGTGAACTCCCATCCTCTGTTTATGTAGCAGGACATCGGTTACAAGTTTGGAAGGTGATCCCTACACTGCAACAGTGTAGAAATTGCTGGCGATTTGGCCACCCAGCAAAATATTGCAGATCTATAGCCGAATACCCAGTCTGTGGTGCCGATGACCATTCTAATACGTATACGTATGTCGACCTCCCTCTTGCCTTAATTGTCATGAGGCTCACCCTTCGTACTCTCGCCATTGCCAGGTCTACTTAAATGAGCAGGAAACTCATTGCCTCAAAGAGGCAGAAGGTCTCCCTTATGCTATGGCATTTCTCATCTCCGCCTCCAAGGGAGACTACCCCGTGTTTCAAAACGTCCTCCCACTTCTGGGATACCATCTTCTGCAGCCTCCTCTGCAGTTGCCAGTCCCATAGTCACTCCTGTACCTAATTCTTTTGCTGTCCTGGGTTCAGACATCCCTACTTCAACACCTCGGTCTGTTCTCACTTCGTGTTCTCTCTCACAAACCCCGGTATCGACAAGACCTCGTACAACACCTCCTCCCAATCGTCCTTCTACTTCTCAGAAGTCCAAAAAACTCCTTTAACCCCTCCTTCCCTTCATCCACCTCCACATTTTACTTTCGCGGTCTCTGTACCTGGGTCTTCCCCTTTCACTGGCTCTGTTACAAGTGTGGAGGTTCATCCTCCTCCTCGTACTGTGCCTTCCTTCCCTGTCCCTTCCCAAGTTTCTTCCTCTTCTGCCACCTTCCAGGTTTCTGCCTCATCTGTCCCCTCCCACACTTCTCCAGTTCCCTCCACCCTTTCGTCCCCCCCTACCTTGGTACAGTCCATTACAGTTCCGATCTTTACTCAAACTCCTCCTCCTCCTTCCATCTCCAATATTGTCTCCTACGACGTCTCTGAACTCCGAAACACTTGAAGCAATCTCTGAATATATTGCAGAGACCAAACCATCAATGGACACTGATCCACCCTCTGTTCCTTCTCTTTCCTCTTCTCCATCTGCACAACTCCTTTCTTCACAGCGCACCGTTCCTTCGCTGCTTGAACGTTTTCCGCTGCCACCGCATGTGGACTTTTCTAACCCCTCTAGTCCGTAAGTACCCTTACCTGCGGATTTCTAGTATCTTTATCGTTGCCAATCATGGCCTATTTACAGTGGAATATACATGGCCTCAGGGGTAATCGGGGTGAGCTTCAGACGTTGCTTTCCCAATTTTTCCCTGTTGGTGTTTGCTTACAAGAACCAAAATTACACTCTGCTGTTATCTATCCCATCTCAGGCTATAATTTATTGTATTCTTTGGATCCTTTTCCTGACGGGACCTTTAACGAAAGTGCCCTTCTTCTACGCACTGATATTCCGTACCATCGGCTATTTGTTTGTACTTCGCTGCATTACACAGCAGCCCGTATCCACCTGCATAGGTGGTATACACTCTGTTCTTTGTATCTCTCTCCTTCTCGAGCATTATCTATTCCGGATATTGCCTTTCTTGTTTCGTCACCACTTCTGTTACTTGGCGATTTTAATGCCCATCATTTCCTCTGGGGGGGTCTCACTGTGATTCCCATGGCATTCAGCTAGAGGCTTTTCTTACTTCCCACTCCCTCCATGTTTTAAATACAGGTACTCACCCCCATTTAGGTCCTCGTTCTCACACTCTCTTGCATCGATCTCTCAGCCTGCTCTTCCTCCGCCGCACTAGACTTC